CATTCCAGATTACGAATATATTAAACTTTATTGTCTAGGAGAGAACTATAACACGTCTGGCATTCATCCCTCTTTATCTATTTTTCTCGTAGTCCTACGAACGCGATATTATAACTAAAGAAAATAAAATATTTCTAACGTTTTTTTTTAACGTCAAAATTTTATTGACCGATTCATAAATTTATTATTTATCTACAAGATTTTTTTAATTTTAATTCGTCACACCACGTATGTAATGGAAATTTGTGGAAAAACACGGTGTAGAATATTAACAAAAAAAGAGTAAAGTAATCAATCGTGAACTTATCATTCGATTCGTAATAATTTCCATTGGACAATTCGAACGTAAGAAATTTGTTTCCATAAACTCTCGTCAAACATTTGTCGATTCAAATATTATTTAATTAAATATTATTATACGAAAGAGTAAAATTGGAAGAAAGAAGTATCACGAGTTTTGGTTTCTTCTTCTTCTTCTACTTCTCGTGTCAGGGTTGCGTGAAAGAAAATGGAGCGTTGGAAAGGAATAATGAAAGAAAAGAAAAGAATTGGAAGGGAAGGTAGATAGGAAGGAAGGAGGGGTTGTTTTATTTTTTTCTTTCGTTCCTTTTTCTTTGTTGATTCATGGAGAAAGATCAGAAGGGCGATGGCAGCATACACTTTTGAACCGCCATTTAAAAGAGGAAGCTCGGTTATTCGCGGCAGCTTCTTCTCTCGTCGTCGCACGCCACGTTTCCTTCCGAGAAAGAGGAGAGGAGAGGAGAGGAAACGTAGGGGGCGGTCTGGGAGGGCAACGTGAGGGCAATACGAGGCGGTCTCTACATTTCTAAAGCTCCGCCTTGCACCCACCAGTAGAATATAATACTTTTGCCATGAATATACTTTCAAAACTCTTCGACTTATTATCAGTTTTGTTTCTTTTTTTTCTATTTTTAACTTTCATTCCTTTTTATATTTCGTATATCAAAAATTTGTATTTGTTGCATCGAATGTTTGGTATTCATTTTAAAACACGTTTTTGACAGACAATTTTTGGAATTTGTTTTTCTTTTACCTTCTTACAATTGGTATACATGTTTACAGTTGCACGTGTAGTATTTTACGATTCGACCTGACACAATAATATGTTCCTTTATATCTCTAATAATTAGGATACGTTTATTCTATCAATTTTGAAAAAGTTGCGTCAAGATTTTGTTAATACTTAAACGAGAAACAAATGTTCCTATTATCTAAAGTTTTGAATTTAACACGATAAGAGATTATTCCGTATCAACTATTTCCATTTAATAAATTATTTGTTATAATAATTATATTCCGTTTATTGTTTTGTTTTCTCATTTAGGTATTCATACGATTTTCAATGCGAATAATTTAACGTTTAATGCATTATTCCAGGTTGAAAAAAGTAAGTATGGGAAATGGTTTTCTATGGAATAGTTTTGTCAGTGTTTCGACAAAGAAGATTACAAGAAGAACAAGCTGCTGGAAGAAGAGGGGAAAGGTGCTGCGAGGAAGGAGGAGATCCTTTTAGGTCCCATGCTAATACCGCCCCTAAGACGTTTCGTGACGCGATACAGTTTTCCATCGTTAACCTCAGCTGACCTCACCTCGGTCAGAGTGAAAGTGCACTCGAGTTACCTCTCTTGCATTCCCCAACTAATCGATCGATTCTCTAAGACAGAAATTCTTAACTGTCCACGTTATACGTCGATTAGATGAGAACTAAGAGAATAACTTAGTCACCCTGAGGAAACCATTTTCGTTGATACACACAAGCACAAACACAAACACATACACAGGCACATGGACAATTGATTTATCTTTGAGTAAATATCAATTAGATTTATCGATGATTCCGTTAAGAAACATTTCACAATTTTCGAATACTCAAAACTAAATATGTTTAATCTATTAACAAATGAATTCATTTTCTTTCACAATTGCATGCTATTACATTGGATTTAGAATAAAGGGATAATTTTATAAAAATTAAATATATATTTAAATAATATATCTATTCTCGATCCTTCGATAATATTCCTCGGAATAAAAGGGTTCATTTTACAGTAGAAACAAAATAATTTTAACCGAATGCATTAGTAAGACACACACGGAAGGAAATACAAAAATAAAATCACAAAAATATAGCTAATTGATTTCGAATCAAACATATAAGATATTGGCAATTAAGATAAAAATAAAAGAAAAACCAATAAATTAGTATAAAAATTATAAAGATTTGTGAGAGGAAGGGAAGAAGAAACACTTTGAGAATCGCAATTGAAGGATTGTTGGTTCCGATGAAGCATTTTGATTGCGGCTCGTACCGGATTTGCACCGGGTTAATAATTCTCGAAGCGAAGCGACGGGGACACGTTGATATCACGTTGACAAGCCGTAAATACATAATGAAGTGTGGAAATCCCCCGTGCGATTAAATCCATGAATGCCTTCATCCGTCATCGCGAGTACACGCGAGTATACGCGCGCGCGCATGCCAAGCTTACGCTTGTGATAGCTCATAGTACCGGCTTCGAATTTATAATACATACTATATATATCATAAATATATATATATATATATATACAACCAAAGGTTGCTTTATGTTCTCTCAATACTGATTCATCCTATTTTCGAGACACCGAGAACGAGTTCGTTACGATCGGACAAAGGAAACGTGTTCTCTCTCTCTCTCTCTCTCTCTCTCTCTCTCTCTCTCTTGACAATTTTGCAATCAAATTATCGATCTCGGTATAAATTTTAATTATTTTTTTTTTCATTTATTCATTTCGTCCAGAATATGCCGCGAGAAATTATTGATCGTTATATATGAATATATAAGAATAGATAAGAAACAATCAGGGATGTATTTATGTTAATGCGAATAGAACAATATAATAATTATTGATTTAATAATTGAAAAAAGAAAATTAACGCAAGAAGTTTCACCTCGGTCAGTTGCGTGTTTTTTCTTTTTTTTTGGCAGACTTTTAATTAATTAATGGATATCCGAGAATTAGGGTGGTATGTTAATTAAATTTCGTCACATTTATTTTCGAAAGCATAACAAACGAACAATTCTATATTTTTTGTTACAACGAATTAAAGAAAAATCGTTTCGATGCAACCTGTGCAATTCTGTATTATTGGTTTTAACAAAAAACAGAAAAAGGTATTCATTTTAATGCATCCATAGAAATGTTGATGCAATTTATCAGTTCGTTTATAACAATCATTTATGTACTTTTTTTTATTTGGTTACGTTTAAATCATGTGTAGGTACGACGAAACTTGTTTTTTACAACACATTTTTTACGTTTATCTACAAATTGGATGTATTTCTGTTGAATGCATCTTTCAACGCTGACATTTTGTCAATCGAATAAAAAAGATAACGAGACGATGCAAAAACAGGGGGTTTAACGAAATTATCGATTTGGCAAATTGTGTCTGTGTGATTGCGTTAACAGGTCAAAGTTCAAGATCACGAGACGTAGGTAAAGGGCATCTCGAAGTACCTTAAAAAGAATCCTTAATACTATATCACGAAAGTAGATGGCGCCAAAGGTCTCAGCTATCTTACCAGACTTCATCCCTTAAAAAGGAAAAAGGGATCTCTTTAAATTTCACTTTAAAGTAAATCCTATGCAATAACTCGCGTATAAAATAATATCATATTATAATGTGTTACGTGGGTTTCATTATATTTTTTTTTCCCGTATAAAAAGATATTTATCGTTTCTAATTTAAATTTACGAATGTGGGATTTATTTATTTTTTTTCTTTTTTAGTGTCGAGACATTAAATAAGTTAAAGCAGAAAAATGTGAATAATTAATTGTTAAATAATATACGACGGACAACAAATTTTGCGCTTTTCAAATGAAATTGTTGAAAGTAACGTCAAATTCATTTGCGAAACGTTGTAATTTAGCGTGAAAGATTCGCGGAAAAGGGGATTCGATCAATCTTTCGATTCTATCTTTTTTTTTATGAGTTTATACGTAGAGCACCAAGTTTTCCAATCTGCTTGGAAAGCTTAAAAAAGATCATTATTTAAGCTCGTTTGTCATTGTTTAGACGGGGGAAGCTGTTCTTTTAAAGCAACATCGATTCGTTCAAAAGCAATTTATTAATCAAGAACTTGTTAATCGAACAAAAGCGATCGGCAAGCTCCCGGCGACCGAATAGATTCTGCATTGAAAATTAAATCGAATTTGCGTATACGTATACACATGCGTATATATATATATACATGTGATGTGTATGTATTCCTTTACGAGTCTCAATAAATTTAAATGACCCTTCGTTAGTTTCTACCACGCAGTTTTATTACGGGTTTCTATTAAAAAAAAAAAGTTGGCCCTTTTGTTTGCTAGAAACGGTGCTAGTTCGATAACTATTATTCTACGCGCAATAACTTTTCGTTCTCATTGGGTTTCTACGATGAAATTATATATTTCGAAAACGATAAAACGTTCGATGCGAAGCAATACGAATGTACAATATATTAAATAATTACAAACATTGCAATTTAAATCGATGAACAAATGAAAAACGTTGGATAAAAGAATGTTCATTTGAGAGAGGGTGTAACAACGTTTAGAATAATAAAAAGTAAAAGGTATGCGGTGCGAGGGAAGAAGAAGAATAAAAAGAATAAGAAGAAGAAGAAGAAGCAGCTTGATAAATGCGTGCCGGTGCGCTCCTAGAAACCAGTTTGGTGTTTACCTAGTAAGTAGGGTTGTCAGTCAGCTGGTTCGTTGCATCTTCGGCACTCGGTGTGTAACATCGGGTATCTCATTCCCTCTCTTTCAATCCGTTCGAGGAGAGATGGTAGTGGTGATGGTGGTGGTGGTAGCGATGGTGACGATGGTTAGGTTCTGAGAGTCTAGTTGGAAGGGGAAAAGGTTCATGGAAGGGATGGGTGCACGTTGGCAGTCATGCAGGGTGCGTTACCGTCGATAGAACGCGGCTCTGTTCGGACGATCAGTTGCTCTCCGACTAGTGCCGTGGAATGTTGTCGGTCAAAGGATCCTCCTCGCGTCGGTGAACAACGCGATCGTAATAACTTTAGTTAAAAATAAGTTAAGTTTTAGGCGGAGGCGGAGGAGGAGGAGGAGGAAGAGGAAGAGGAAAGTTCATTTCGAGTGTGATCAAAAAGTGTTTCGAACTAATATGGGTGCGATTTTGTAGTGTGACTTTGAAAAGTAAAGGTTTTTTTTTACTCATTGTGTCTTTCTTTATTGGATCGTGGGACAGACGCATTTCGAAAGAATACAAGCGCGAGTTTTCGAGTATGCGTGCGTGACGACGACAACGACGACGACGAACACACAACACTTTTCGTATCAAATTCGTTGGTCAGATATTTGTCGAAAGATCTTTGGATAGATCTTTGGTTAAATCTCGCCGCGATGGAGACTAAGTTGGTACGCTCGGTTCTCGGGTTGGGGCTTTTGTGTTGGCTCCTCGGGACGGATGAGCGTTCGGTGATTTTGGTCGATGGTAGAAGCATTACCAGTTTGGAAGCACCGACCGGTTGCGAGTGGCGCCGTGAGGAAAACGAGGAAGCGGACGGAGAGGAGAGAACGTTGGCTTGCAATGTAAGAACAATTGCGAACGTGGCCGGTCTTCTAGGAAATCTGTCGAGTATTCAAATCGACTCGATAACATCCTTGGGATTGGAATGCAGCGACGTTCTATTCTTCGAGAGCCAATTGGAGGGTCCCCGTGGTTTTCTTTCCCCTTTGCCAAGATTGGAAAAGTTACGTGTGGATTATTGCAAAATTCGTTATTTGCCGGCCGGCGCGTTTTCATCCGCGCAAAATCTTCGCGGTCTTTCGGTTCGCACTCACAACGGCGACTGGTCAGCTATGACCTTGGAACTGGACAGAGACGCCCTTCTCGGCTTGGCCGATCTCGAGGAACTCGATCTCGGCGACAACAACCTTTGGACGCTACCGGCCGAACTATTCTGTCCCGTGGCCAGTTTGTCGCGGTTGAATCTGACGCGCAACAAGTTACAGGACGCCACGGCCCTTGGATTCGCCGATCGCATGCACTCCTGCACGCCGAATCTCCAGAGTTTGGATTTGAGTGGCAACGATCTCGGCGCCCTGCCCGATCGCACCCTCGCCGGTTTGCTATCCTTGACCGTTCTCAAGTTGCAAGAGAACGCCATTACCGCCGTGGGCGATCACGCCTTGGCCGGTCTTCCTAATCTGAGATCGTTGAACGTTTCGAGCAACCGACTCGTCGCCCTGCCACCGGAATTGTTCGCCAAAACCAAGGAACTTCGGGAACTCGTGTTGAGCAACAATTCGTTGGCGGTACTCGCGCCCGGGCTTTTGGACGCTCTCGAGGAACTACAACTTCTCGATTTGAGCGGAAACGAATTAACCAGTCGCTGGGTCAATCGGGATACGTTCTCTCGACTCGGCAGTTTGCTCGTCTTGGATCTTTCCTTTAATGCCTTGACCAGGATTGATTCTCGCGTATTCGAGGGACTCTACAATCTGCAGATATTGAAACTCGAGCACAACGAAATCGATACGCTCCTGGACGGATGTTTCGCGTCCCTGACGAATCTTCACACGCTGACTCTCTCCCACAACAAGATAGCACGATTCGAGCCAAGTCACGCTCACGGTCTCACCGCATTGGAACAACTTTTCTTGGACGGCAACAGATTGCGAGCTTTGCATCGACGAGTATTCGCAAACTTGACCGAACTCAAGGACTTATCGCTCAGCGGTAATTCATTGACGGAGATACCATACGCAGTTCGAGTTCTACACTCGTTGAAAACCTTGGATCTAGGTAACAATCACGTGTCTAGGATCGACAACGAATCATTCGCCGGATTGAACGAGCTCTATGGATTACGTTTGGTCGACAACAAGCTGGAGAACGTGTCTCGCGAGGCATTCTCGACGTTGCCGGCATTGCAGGTCCTCAATCTCGCAAACAATTTCATTCGTCACGTAGAACAGAGCGCGTTCGCGAAGAATCCCGTATTGAGGGCTATACGTTTGGATGGGAATCGATTGACGGAGATACGCGGTGCCTTTACCAGTCTTTCTACCTTGGTTTGGTTAAACGTCTCGGACAACAAATTGTTATGGTTCGATTACAGTTATTTACCGTCGAGCATCGAGTGGCTCGACATACACGCCAATCAAATAAGCGAACTCGGCAATTATTACATGGTACGGAACGCTTTGAACATCAAAATGCTCGACGCCAGTTTTAATCTCGTTACCGAAATATCCGAAGCAAACGTTCCCGACAGCGTGGAGACTTTGTTTTTGAACAACAATCGCATAAGAACAGTTGCGGCCGGTACGTTTCTACGAAAGACCAATCTTCAAAAGGTAGTGTTGTACGGAAACGAAATAAAAAATATCGAAGTGGCAGCGTTGAGCTTGCAATCGGTCCCGGAGGACAGGGAAATGCCGATCTTTTACATAGGCAACAATCCGATACTCTGCGATTGCACGATGGAGTGGCTGCCGCGAATAAACGAGTTGGCTCGACTGCGTCAACACCCGCGGGTACTCGATCTCGATTCCGTCAGTTGCGAGATGGTGCACGCGCGCGCGACCCCTCGCAGGCCTCTCCTCTCCCTCAAATCGAAAGACTTTCTTTGCCGATACGAGGCGCACTGTTTCGCGTTGTGCCATTGTTGCGATTTCGACGCGTGCGACTGCGAGATGACGTGCCCGGACAACTGTTCCTGTTATCACGATCACAGCTGGTCCAGCAACGTGGTGGATTGTTCGAACGCTGGTTACAAACGCGTACCCGAACGCATCCCAATGGACGCGACCGAAATCTATTTGGATGGTAACGAGCTGGGCGACCTAGGCAGTCACGTTTTCATCGGCAAACGACGCTTGGAGGTTTTGTATTTGAACAACAGCGGGATCGCGGCCATTCACAATCGCACCTTCAATGGGGTCAACGCGCTACGAGTTCTACACCTGGAGGACAATTCGTTGCGAGAGCTGCGGGGCTTCGAGTTCGATCAATTGGAACGCATGTCGGAACTTTATCTCGACCACAACGCGATCGCGACCGTGGGCAATTCTACGTTCAAACGGATGAAAAATTTGGAGGTGTTGCGCCTGGACGGCAACCGAATCGTCGATTTTCGGCCGTGGGAAGCGTTGCCCAGCGTCGGCGACGGGACCAAGGTCGCCCTCGAGGGCAACGCTTGGAGCTGCGAGTGCGCGAATGCGGCGAGGCTTCGCACCTGGCTCGCCGAGCACCGGGGCGACCCCGAGAAGATGTATTGTCGGGACGGCGTCGAGACCTTGGCCCAAGCCATGAAGAGGTGCGGCGACCCGTCGACGGAAGCGGTCAGCCGCGGGATCCAAGAGATACCCCTGCTGGGCGGGAACTTCGTGCCGCTGTTGGCCGGTGCCTTGGTCGCCGTGATCGCGGTCTGCCTGTTCGTTGCATTGGCGTTTGCCTTCCGGCAAGACGTCAGGCTTTGGGCACACGCGCGTTACGGCCTGAGATTGGGCAAAATGGCGAGCGGGCCGGACGACGAACGCGACAGACTTTACGACGGTTACATCGTTTACAGCGAACGCGACGAGGATTTCGTGTCGCGGTTCCTCGCTGCCGAATTGGAGGCTTCCGGGCTGACCCTTTGCCTTCACTGGCGCGACCTCCCCCCCGCGAGGGCGCAGGAAACGGTGCCGCCCGCGGCGGCTGCGGCCAGGCGTCTCCTCGTCGTCCTGTCGCCGGTTTTTCTCGCCAACGAATGGCAACGCGTCGAATTTCGTGCCGCCCTACGCACGGCCTTGGAAAACGTCAGGCCGAGTTCGCGAAAAAGTCGAGTCGTCGTTTTGCTAGCCGCCGAGGCGCCCGCTCGCGACCCGGAACTTCAATTACTGCTGACCAGTTGCACCGTCGTCGTGTGGGGCGAAAAAAGGTTTTGGGAAAAGCTTAGGTTCGCCATGCCCGACTCGGTGGACAAGCGGCGTCGCGACGCCGGCAAAAGATCGAAGGATCGTTCGAAGAATCGCGGCCGGGTGCCCGCGAGATACACGCCGGCGCCAACCTCCGCGGCCGTGGACGTCTGGAGCAACGGCAATGGGAACGGCAACGGCAACGGGGCCAAACCCAACGGGGTCCTCCTAGCGCCGGTTCACGCACCCACGCCGACGCCCACGCAATCGACTTACGTCAGCTCGGCCTCGAGCCGGACCGAGGACGAGGACAGCGGTGCCGAGCATCAGAACAACCATCACCCCCCTCATCACCATCACCACCATCATCATCAACAACAGCAGCAACATCCGCACAACAACTCGGCCCCACCCAATGGGAGACCCACCAGCGTTTCCTCCAGAGGCAGCCATCTTTACAGTACCATACCGGAACCCCCGGTCGTCGTGGTACCTTCCGCGCCACCCGGCGATACCTCCACCAATCCGCGTACTTATTTCGTCTAGTACCGACAACACCAGAGGGGTATCTTTTTCTTCCGCTACAAAATAGATTCCTGATCATCATCTTCTATTATACTACCTTTGCCGAGGAGGATGGCACGCGCTGGTTACGCGCCAAATCTTCCGATTCGTCGACGCTACCCTATGCTGCCCTTTTTTGTTTTTGTATTTCGGCGCTTTTACGAAAACGTTCTTTTTTGCTTTCCATTAATAATTCTTTATTCCATTTGAGTCTCGCGTTTTCGTGAAAGATCGGCCGCAACGAAATTATTTATTATTATTATTATTATTATTATTATTATTATTATTTGTTTTTTTTGTTCGTTAATTAATGCGTCAACGAAACCAACGCAAGAAATATTTATTTTGTCACGCACAGAATAATCTCTCTCTCTTTTGACGGATTTAATTCGAGGTACGAAACGCGAAGATTCGAATCGACGCCGAAGATGCACCTCTCCTGCCTTTTATCTGTCACTGCCTTGCGAAAGAAAGAGAAAGAATTAAAGATAAATTCGTAATCGGGGGGGGGGCGGGAGGAAATCTCTTTTTCGTATAAAATCGATTGAATGGCTCGTTCGGGTCTCGTAAGTCCTTGCCAGGAATTATTTCCGTCCAATGTGCGTGCGTGCGTGCGTGCTTTCTCAAACGGGAAATGTGATTTCTGCCATAATCGTCGTGGTCGTCGTTGTTGGGTTCCCGATCGGTGATGCGAATTTTTATTCGAACGTAAAATATTAAATTCACAACGAAAAGGAAGGAATCAGGGGTTGGGGAACTTTGTGGGAGAGGAGAGGGAGATAGAAAAAAGAAAGTCGTCTTATTTTCATTCGATTATTTAATTTCATTTGGCAGCCGAATTATATGATAATTACTTTCGATTGAAGAATTGTATTCTCTTTTTATTTTTTCTTTCTCGTGAAAATGACAAAAAGAGAAAACAAAAAAAAAAATGCGAAAAAAAGGTTAAAAGAAAAAAGAAAAAAAAGAGGAACAAAATGCAACAAGTATGTGTGCGAAAGAGAGTTTTCATTTTTTTTTTCTTCTTCTTTTTGTTTTTTTTATTTTATTGTTGTTGTTGGTTGGTTGGTTGGTTGGTTGGTTGGTTGTCTATCCACGTTCGTCGATGTGTCAGTGATAAAATTGAAAAATTAACGAATAAGAGAAGAGGATATAAATACGAACGCGAGACGATTAATTATCTTTTCGTAAGATATTAGGATTAGAAATAAATATATAAATATATAAATAAATATATATATAGTGTAACAAAAGTGAAAAAAAAGAGAAAAATGGAAGGAAATGAAGGATAAGATAAAAGACTTGGCGAGAACGTCGTTCCTACATAAGATTCACGACCGTTCGTTCGGTGATACGGATTAATGCGACGGTCTTATAACGCTTATTAGTACGTAAGTCGAATTCTCTTGTAAATAGTGTATATCTAATTTTTGTAAATATTCAGGCGCACATTTTCGAGCACACACACACACACATACACACATACATACACATACACATTAACACATACTGGATAAGATAAAATTCACTTTCCTCAGTTATTCGTTCCTTTAATGGGATATGAGCGACACAGCTGATATTTTTCTATATTTTTGTATTCGATTACTATGACAATATCCTTTTTCTATTTTCGTTATTGTGCATCTTGCAAATTTTTAATCGTTTGACAAATAATTCATTGGAAAGTACGAATTTTTGCGTTTGCAACGTTGCCGAAAAAGAGATAGTAATAAAAGCACACAAATTTTTTTAGTTAAAAGTGACCATTTCTTTTTTTTTTTTATCGAACCCTGATAGGGTAGACGCAAACACAAACGATGGTTCGAGGATTAAAAAACAAATACACGCAAACAATAAAACCATACACCGATGCGGCCAGCACATTGTATTTTAAGACTGACCGTCTCTATTTCATCGCGATACGTCTCCTTTTTTAGATTGTATATCGATTTGCGTTATATAAATACGATATATATATATAATATATATTATATATATAAAAGAAAAAATTTCATTGTGTAATATCTCAACTGTATTGTACTATTGTAAATAACGCTCATCGAGGGTCACCACGTATCGTGTAATATTTGCAGTCTGTTGTAAAATGAGTATTTAAATTAATTGCAATTAATTTTCATTTCAGCGATAACGAGAAAAGAAAGACAAAAAAAAAAGTAAAAAACCAAAAAAAAAGAAAAGAAACACGAAACTAAACAAAACGAATCATGAGAAATAAAGACGTTTGTTTTATATAAACGAGTTTTAATAATTGATTACCAAATCGAATTACACATATTAAGTATAATATTTAATCCTATATATAATACTTATATATATATATATATATATATATACATACAGGTATATATAAAACCTTAGAGGAAACGACTTAATTTACTTTGGAAGCTACTTTAAATTCGTCGAGGGTTGCGTCTTAGAAACGTCTGCAGAATGGGTAGAGGGGGAGGAGAAGGAGAAGGAGGAGGAGGATGGGTGGGGACACGTCGGTGTAGTATAGTTTCTTTGGCAAAAGTCCCTACGAAAAGGTAGGACGAGTAAGAAACAGCAGTAGCAGTAGCAGGGTTAGGAGGGGAATTCGTCGGAAGGCGGCGAAGGGACGTGCCAAGGGTAAAAGGGACGTTCCGGTGTGTGTCCAGCAAGGAGATTTAATCGAGGCAACTGTAGCAGCAAAAGCAGACCGGCAACAGCACCAGCACTGGGACTGGAACCGGCACCGGCACCGGCCAAAGCGGTGAGGCAAAACAGAGGCAACGGCAGAAACAGAAGCTTTGTTCAAAGTTTTCGGTGCTCTAGTCCAACATCAACCTCCATTACGGTTGGCCAAATAAACAACGGACCGTTTTACGGAGTAACGCGAGCTGGTTCGTTGGTATCCGTTCGAAAACCTTTCTCCAAACTCCCAACTCTCGGATACTCCTCTCCAAAGACGAGATATTAGAACGTGCCTCGTTTCCTTTTCATTCTTCATCATCTTCTTCTTCTTCTTTCATTTGTTTCCCTGGCTTTTTGTCTTTAATTAATTTCCTACCACCCCCTCTTTAAATAGGGGGACCCTCGATCGAGAGTCCTTATTACTATTTTCTAACTACTTCAATTTTTTCTCTTTCGAATTCATAAGCCTTTTTGTTTTTTTTCTTTTTCTGTTGGCACGTTGTTACGTTAAATATTCGTATACGAAGCAACGTATTGGTTTTATAGGAAAGGAAAAGAATATAGAAGGGAAGAAGAATAATGATTTTTCTAGCAAATATTTTCTTACGCGTCGATATTTGTTTCTACGAAACATTTTCTAGTTCTATTTAATTTAATAATAAATATTTAAGCGAGCAGTTTATTATAAAAGAAAAATCTTGTATATCTGGATCGGTTATTCGTTGAATACCCGATCGCGTAGTTTTGTTTTTAGGTAATATAATCAAGAATAGGAATAGTTTAAAAGATGTTCAGCCGGATCATCCGCATTTGAGATTTTCGGTGAGTCCAGCATTCGTGACAGGACAGTTCCAGTCGAATATATTATCGTTTTTATTTTTGAAAAAGTTTTTAAGGCAGTAAGAGTATCCCGCGGAGTAGTAGGTAGAAAGGTATCCCTTTTTTTGCTTCCTTCCCTTTTTCTTTTCTTTTTTTTTCTTTTTTTCCCCTTTTTGTTCCTGTTTCTATCTCTCAGGTAGGAGGATCCGAAAATTTCTCCGTTTACTCGTTGCATTGGTCCCTCCGGTCACGTAGCTAAACGAGATTCGAAGGCATAAGTTACAGTCCCGTCCGTAACTGAGCCAACCAACCCCGTGAATCGGCTTTTTAAAGGGACCAACGAGATAAAGGTTGGAGAAAAAGAGATGGATACTTAGGACGAGAACCAACGTACGTTACGTACACCCAACGAAGTAATAGTTTTATCGAAGAAACTCGAGGTAGCCTGAGGGCGGCTTCTTATACTCGTTAGAATATCGGTGCACGTTCACGTTAAAGGGGAACGTGGAACGTGGATGTTGTTGGTTGGTCCGGCCTAACTTCTTCCCGAAAATTCGATTATCCCGATTTCAACGTTGCCCGATAATTTGACTTCCATTCGGTAAATAATCACATTTTATTATCAATTTCGCATACAAATATATTTTCTTAATATTCTCTGATAGGATTTGTAAACGTAAGAAAAATATTTCTTTTCACGATGATTTTTTTATCTTGTGATTTAAATGCTTTTCCTTTCTCTCGTTTTTTCTTTGCTTGATTTTTTTTTTACGTGTATCATAGTAATATTATTATAACTAATTAAAATAATGCACGAGGAGATTACAATTTGTGGAACGAAAACAAAAAGAAGGGGGAGGACTAAAGGGTATTACTTCCTCGTGGTTTTATTTTCAAGCGTAAAATATGGAAAGAGAGAGAGAGAGAGAGAGAGATATTTAAAAAAGCCTTGGAGCTATGCAGAAAAGTGTGTCCTCTCGGTTATGTTAATGACATCGCGACTTTCGTACGGTTTCTCTTTTTCTCTCTCTCTCTCTCTTTTGGCTTAATTACATTTTTACCAGACGTGCCTTCGAGCATGAATGGAACAGCAATAATGATAATAACGATAACAACAGATGAGAGATTGAACGAGTATATTTTATTTACATACTGTAAATACGATGGGCAAAAATATCAATTTTAAATTTTCAAATGTCTCTATAAAAGAAATTTGTTTCATCAATTTTGCGCAGTTAGTTAGTTGTCAAAGAGTATCATTAAATCGAGTAGTATTTCCATTCAATAATTTTCGTAATATTATTGAACAAGAAAAAAAAAACCACAAAATTAATTAAATACAGTTTCTCGGAATTTTCCTATCTTTATGTATCAACTAATTATTGACAAATTTAGAATATTAAACAATATATTCAAACCAAAATCCGTATGAATAGAAATCAAATGAATTCATGGATATATTTAAAGCACGAGTTGTTCTATCATTATTCGATCTCTTTATCTTGTTAAATTTTTCTTCGTCTTTTTATAAACGTATTCTCTTAAAAGAATTTGAAATTCTCATATCGAATATATAAGCTATTTTTACAAACAGTGGTCAAAATAAAAAGATAAAGAATTGTCATGATATATCGTGGCTTTCATCGAGCAATCACCGTACAGTTTTCTTTATCCGATGGGAACGGTGGCTACGGGAATTGCATTAAATCGCATTCAAACTGAGTTTTCTGGTCCTCTGAAACGTAAAACACACACACATACACACATACACGTAGAGAGAACATATCCAGTTCGTCTTTTTCTTTGTTCTATTTCTATTTCTCTATTTTTTCAACTCGTTGTTTCATCCAACGGGAGCAAGTATTTCTGTGATTTATGCACGCCTCGCGTGCCATTTTTGCGTCCGTTTTGCTTTAGGGACATTTGCTAGACCGGGGCCAAAGTTTTTGAAAAAATAACTAGCGCGATGTGGTGGTGGTGATACTGGTGAAAGTGAAACACGCGAATATAAAAATCGGTTTCAGGAAATTCGATCAATTCCTACGATTCTTTGATTATTTTCTTTTCTTTCTCTCTCTCTTTCTCTTTCACACACACAAACTCGTTCGATTATTTCCTATTTTATTTTTTCTTTTATATTATACAGATAATATGTAAAATATATATTGGAAAAGTAATTGGATGTGAATTAATTTGATTAAAACAGGGGGTATATTTAAATAATAGAGGAATCAAATTTGATAAGAATTTGAATTACAACGTAGTGATATTCTTCTTCTTCTTCTTATCGTAGAGAATAATAATAGAAGCTCTGAAGCTATTTTACGTTGCTATATGTTTGTGTGTGTATATGTGTATGTGTACGTGTACGTAGATATATAACCGCACACGCTTTTGCATCTTAAATCGAGCGACGTATCACGTCCGTGACGCGTTTAATAGCTTAACGAGTGCACATCCTTTTCGCGGTGCCTTGAGAGAGTGTTGTATCTACGTGAGCGGTCAATATCACGTTTCGAAACTAAACCAAAGTATTATTAGATCGTTGGCTATACTTTCTATCGTTTCTTTTTCGTTATTTCTTAACAATTTTCTACGCGAACAATTGCATTTTTCATTTTATTTTATTTTATTTTATTTTATTTTATTTTATTTAACCGAGTATATAATATACGTGGGTTGGCATTCGAAAAGTTTCACCTTTACGCGGACGAAATATTTCGTTTATGATTTTCTTTTTTTTTTTTTCATTCTGACTAGAAACACTTTTCAAAACTCTTATACAATATATATATATAGAAAAAAAAGCTAATTGAATAATAAGAAATATATATATTGTGCATGTGTGTGTGTGTGTGTGTAAAATTTAATAGGAAAAAGCAAGAAAGAAAAACTTTGAAAACGATTTAATACATTTCTTTCGTTTATTCATACCGAGTTGTAAGCAACTTTTTCAAACTTTAAGTTTTATTTAATAGTCATAATGAAGTATTACTTTTTTTTTTTTTTCTTTTCTTTCCATTTTTCTTTTTTTTTTTTTGCATACGAAATGTAAAAGTTCCAGCGACTATTATTCTTGACGATTCACACGCAAAGACGAGTTAGACAAACGTAGACGGTTGAACACACAAAGTGTACAAACAAAGAGTAGGTACGTATACAAATGAACATTTGTTCTGTTACGTTACGAGAGAGACAGACAAAGAGAGAGAGCGAGAGAGAGAGAGAGAGAGAGAGAGAGAGAGAGGAATAATGAAGAGAGGAAACTGATTAATCATTATTAATAATAGTCATTAAAAAAAGTGACTCATCTAATAAAAGATATATGAAAACAAAGAATAATTCCATTTATTTTCAAACATTTTTTCGTAGAGAGAGAAAGAGAGAAAGAGAGATTATACATATATATTAAGTTAAATAAATGATTAATATCAAATATGAATAATTCTGATTGGTTAAATGATGATCTGTCTATATTTATATTAATCAGTATTTATATTAATCAGTATTTATATTTAAATGAGAGAGTTTGCTGTGTCACAAGATTACATATTCCGTGTTACATTTAATTACAAATATGCATTGACAATATTGGTATATTAATCGATACAATTCAAAACATTTGTATAATTCATTTCGATAAATTAACCGATAAATACTTCGAGTGTCATCTAAAAAGCAAAAAAAAAAAAAAAAGAAGAAAAAAATAGTTCAATCAACAAATATTTCCCATGAAACCGCACATCCTGTCCGATGGTCAAGAA